ACTAAATCAAAATAATTTGTATACTTTGTGCTATAATTAACTCGCCTTGATCAACTCCTAAGATGTTGACATTTGTCAGCGAAAGCATTGAAAACAATTGAATGAAAAAGAATAAAATTGAATAATATTTTTATTATTCTAAACTAAACTAGTAGAAGACTTGTGTTGTTTGCGCGGATAAGTTGAAAAAGATAACTTTAATTGAATTTTAAATTTGAAATGAAAATTTTTAAAGTTTAGTAGTTCCGCGTAATATTTCATGAAATTTTTATCATACATTATGCATAATGCCATAAATTTCTAACTTTGAAATAAAAATCATGCACGGAAATAATCATTTATATTTATATTAGTAGTATATAAGAATTAATAAATAACATAAAGTAAGAGTCCAACATTAAATAAAAAGTAAAATAAATTTAATTGGATACACGTAAACATTTAGCCTAAAATAAATATAAATAGTAATGAACAAAATATATTTGATATTATAAAAACCGAAGACATCTTTGGACAGATATAAACTAACAAAGTTTAATAATTGTCCTTGAGATTTGTTTATTATTATTGCAAATGAAACAATAATGGGGAATTGCCTTCGAATAAGCACTACAAAAAAAAGACAAATTAGTCAGGTAATTATGTCATGTGATAATTACCTCGCAAAGTAACGTACTTGTGGGATGTTTTTCACCTCGTAACGTAGTTTTATAAAAAAAAAAAATATATTTATAGGTTTTTCCATCTCGCAACAGATGGAGGGAAATTTAAAATTTTTTAAAATAAAGTTGCGAAGTGAAAAACACCTTGCAACTGTGTTTAAAAAATTGAAAAAATATTTAATGTTGCAATTATTGATGCGTCAGGGTGGCAAGTGACTGTTTGGACACTTTTCTGACATAAACTTTGCGGGGTGAATTTCATTTCGCAAGTTCCAACAGATATAATGGTTGCGGGTTGGCATTCACTTCGCAATGTCCAACGAAGGTACACATATGACATCATGAGACATCAAAATCTCTCAAATCTTCTTCTTTCTCTTTCAGAATCATTTTCTTCTTTCTCTCATTTGAAACACTTTCTTTCTTTCTTTTCCAACCCCTCAAAATCTCTCAAATCTCTACATTTTAACAAAAACCAAGACTTCAAGAGACATCAAGATTCAGATTTACTTTCAAGTTTTTTGTCATATTCATTTACTAAGGTACACATATGATATAAATTATTTGTTATTTTACACTGGATTGTATGAGCTGGTTTAAATTTTTTTTTTTTTAAGTTTGTATGATAAAAATAGTGATGGTTAGATTTGTGTATAATATTTTAAAAATTTTTTGATGAAGTATTTATCATTGCATTGTGTATAAACTTGTTGAAATGATAGAATATATGTTTATGATATATGTAAATAACATATTTTTTAATTTGTTGATAATTTGTTTTTAAATTTGTTAATTATACTTTTTTTTGTTTTTTATAAATAAATAAATAAAATAATATTATAGATTTTAGTTTATTATTTTAGTAAAATAGTTTTATAATACAATTGATATTATAATATATATATATATATATATATATATATATATATATATATATATATATATATATATATATATATATATATATATATATATATATATTAAAACTGAATATTATGTATCTAAAAATAGAATAATTTTATTTTTTAAAAACAGATGAGGAATAATTTTATTTTTTAAAAATAGAATAATTTTTGTCAGGTGAATTTCACTCAGCAACATTCTGTATTTAAAATTTTTCAGGTGAAATTCACCTCGTAACTTTCTGGTTGTTTATTCTAAAAAGCTGCTCTACTGCTCTGCTCTGCTGCTCTGCGTGTTATCTGCTCTAAACTCTGAGAAAGGGGTTGCAAGGTGAATTTCACCTAGCAAGGTTGCGAAGTGAAATACACTTGCCTAACTCGTGGCGTGCTTTTCTCCTTGCAGCATGTTGTGACTAATGTTTTTGCGAGGTGTCTGGTACACTCCGCAATAGTTACGTTGCAGGATGATATTTGTATTTGCGAAGTATTTTTCACCTGACAAATTATAGTTTTTTTGTAGTAAAGTTTGAATGGCCAAGGAGATTAGGAAAGAGACAAAGACATTTTAGGAATATAAATAATATTTTTAATATGGGTAACTAAAATTATCTTTGCTTGATGACATGATTTTCTAGTCTAGTAACCGTCAATCTTGTACCATTTACAAAGACCTTCGCATTGATCAAAATTCTTTATCAACATGATACATGTCCTAATTTTCAACTTTATGAATGATTTGGCAAATCAAAAATTTTTAAACAACTTAAAAATTCAAGAGTTAAATGCTCAAAACCATCATTGTCATTTGTTTCTGATCTATCAATAGAGTCACAACTCAAAAAACTCCTTTGCCTCAACTAAAAAAAAATTGCAATGATGTAGTTAGCATAATTAATAGATATAGTGATGGTGTAATATATAACATCATTAATATATAACAGCCTTATAATATATAACAACGAATAATAGCATGGTGTTACATCATAAATACTCTGACTATTTATTAGCAAGCACGGATCATCAATTGTCGCTGGTGTTTCTGCTTTAAATAGATCGCACTATGTCTTAGGAAGCATATCTAGATATTAATATACATACTGATGTTTTAATTAAAATTTAGTCTTGTAATCACAAAGCATGCATTATAGTCTTGTAATTCAGGAGTTAAATGCTCAAAACCATAATCACAAAGCATGCATTTTTAGTGTTTGTGAACCAACTAGAGATGGGTTACCCGTGTCAAACCTAAGATGTTACGAAACAACTGAAAGGCAAATATTAATGAAAAGAAATGTAAAGTGGCATGTCCTAAACTTATAAAAAGAATGGTGTATAAAATAAAGTTAATGTAGAAGCACACTTTGACTTGAATTCAACAGCTTGAGGATGGTCATAGTTTAGAAGTAGTTTAGAGTCGTGCCAAGCATTTGAAAGATTGAGATTTTCGGTGGCTGCAAACATGTAATGATCCGTGTGAAATAAAAAAGTAAAATAACAATGAATGTTTGTAAGTGAGATGGAGAATGATGGAATATACTTGAACTATGATGACACGTAGCATGAGTGAGAATGACAACCGGATGACCATTCTCTTTAGTAAAAGTCATAAGTTGGTTGGCATAAGCCTCCCAAAGTGTGGCATCAATCTCAGCTCCACTAATAAAATAAATAACAATGAAACCCAACAAAAAGATTAGGAGTTGGTGCAAGATTAGTATATAATTCTATGTGATGTTGATATGTTACAAACGATTCATCGGACAATGTAAGGTTGATGCAAGTTTTTTCCCACCTCTTCCAACCTGGCTCGTAACTACTTAGTGTAACACACCAATGATGTCTTATATAAAAAACTGAGACAGGTCAATAGTTGTAAATATAAGAGTTGTGCATAGTGGAAAAGAAATGCAAAAGTGAATACCGTATAAGTGATCAACTATGAAATCTCCCTTCAAAAATTTCCCGAAAGGTTTGAATTTGAAAGTGTGTTGTGGTATCTCAGGAATGTCGATACTTGTGATTGCAGTTGTACCATTAAAAAAAGTTTGAACTTGTTATCACATACTTTTAAAGGGAGGTCATTGATCAAAGGTTCTCCATTGTAGACCATATAGGTTTGGTGCTCAAGTAACGTTTGACGTATCTGCATTTGCCTGAATGTATCATGCGGCAATTCGGCTACATGTAGTATATTTCTAGAGACCCTTCTACGACTGCTCCTCCTGCAATGACATGTAGAGATATGGATGCTATGTTCGATGATTATCTTGATCATTTGATATCGGAGGAGGCATAAAGTGCCATAATTGAGAGCGACTTAAGTTGCATACACGATTACATCTTGTGGTTCTTCAGGGTGACACATCCTTATATGATACAAGATGCTCCAAGAGATCTACCGAGATTAGCTCATCAAGAGATACTATAGGAGGAGCATGTTAGACAGATCATGTTGTTGATGTGTTGCATAAATGTAGTCGTATCATGGAGATTGGACAAGCGGGTATTGATAGAGGACTCTTTCTAGATAGCTCTGAGGCGAATGACGTTGTAGATGCCTTAATGGCGGAGGCATGAGAGGCACTGCGGTACAGGAGGCAACGTAAGAACATGGGGACCCGAGTCTGAGTCCATCATACACAGTAGTTTATAGTATTTGTACTTTAAATTTACTTGCAGTTGTATTTTATTTTGACTTATTTCGACTTCATCGTGCACTTTGAATTTATTACTTTATATATCATTTTTTGCATATCCATTCTATGGTCTAATTTATCATAATATATATATGTATTATATCGTCGATTTCATCTAAAAATCATTAAAAACAAACTTAAAATTTACTGTATGATTTAGATATGAAGATGTATCTCAAAATTATATTTGATATGTATAGAAAGATGCATCTCCAAAATAATATATTATAAAAATGAGTGTTTAAGATAGAAAATATGAGATGTAAATTGAATTGTTTTAGTTATTCAACTTCGAATTAAATTTTGCAATATATAATTATATATTATAATGATTCATTTTTAATGTTTTGACTAAAAACAAAAATAGGTTCAAAAATATATTTGAAAAAAAAAATTGAGGAATAATTTTGGATTTTCTTAAAGTGATTTTCCACCCTATCACGTAGAGTGGGTTTAGTATTTGGGGTTAAAATTTATAGTCGCAAACAAGGATAATCAAATTTTGGCAAATAAGGATAATCTCGTAATTACATAGCATTCTAGTGGCAAATTAAAAAACGAACTAAACACCTAATATAGTTGACCTGTGCCTTCCACGCGCTTTTACGCATACAATCTCTGAAATTTTCAGTTTGAGACTTTCTTCTCTATCTATTTTCCCGATTCACTTCAATTTCATCCCAATTTTCCCGAAAAATCAAAGTTCATTTGCGAAGGAAAGAAAACCGAGAGAAAGAAAAATGCACGATTTCTGTTTCACGATTCCTTACGGATTGGCATTAGTTGGCGGAGGATTGTTCGGTTTCATCAAAAAAGGAAGCACCGCGTCACTCGCCGGAGGTGCCGGCACCGGTTTGCTTCTCATCCTCGCCGGTTATATCAGTCTCAGAGCCTTCGGAAAGCGGAAGAACTCTTACCTTGCTCTCGCTATTGAGATCCGTATGTTTTCTTTTTTTTCATTTCATTTCTGTTATTACTAATAATTTTTTCACGATGATTGATCTTGTTTTGATCCTTGATTCTGAATCTAGAACTTGTTGTAATGCTATATTGCTATATAGATCATGATTTGATGATATTGCTGTGATTATTTATTTGTTAGTACTTTGTGGATTTTTTTTATTTTGTTTGAATTGGTTCCCTTACGTATTGTGTCCGAAAATTTGGATTTTCATCAATGCGTTAAAATAAGGATTGAATTCATACATTATATACATGATAACTATAGTGCGGACACCGGAAAACACGATACCATCACACTGACAATAATTTGAAAAAATTAGTGAGTTAAACGGACTCACAAGTGAACCGTTGATGTTTCCAACCCTGACATACTTTTTCAGAGTTGTCTGTGGTACAGAGTGTAATAGTGAGAACATTAAAAATGTTTGAATTCGATCCTAGCTACTTTTGAAGTCGTAACAATGATTGTGTAAACTTTATTTTGCTCCATGAATGACTGACACGTCCACACCAGTAATAATAGTCTTATTGTCAGTCTCGGACACAATGAATAAATGATTGCAATTGTCGGTGTCGGTTTCGGTCACCGACCCTGACACGGAGATACCTTTTTTAGATGTGTTGGCAAGTATTATAGAGATTTTGGTTCATTTTTAGGTGTTGTTTATTTTTTTCAAAGTAATTTTTCTCAATTCTAATTTGTGTGTTGCAAAACAGTTTGTGCAGGTGCACTAACTTGGATCATGGGACAGAGATACTTGCAAACATCGAAGATTATGCCGGCTGGTATTATTGCAGGACTCAGGTAATTAAAAAGGACTGATTATACTTTAGTTTTATTTGTAGGAATTAAATTTTAAGTTATACATGATTTAGTTATTGGATAAGTTGTGTCTTGTAGATTATAAATCCATGAACTTACCTCTTATGAAGAGTTAATGCAACAGCGGATGTGATTTTGTTCTTTTTACTATTTTTCCTAACTAATGAACAAGGTTGTTAAAATCACGGTCTAGATCTTAAAATCTTACGATTTTACGATCCCACTCACCCCCTACAATTCCGATCTTATGTAGAATTGTGTGTTGTAGACAAATTGCGGAAAAAAAATCGTAAAACCATTGATTTTGTGCGATCTTGGTCTGTTCCGGCCACGATTGCTGAGAAGAATGACAAGATGCCGAAGTGCAACAATTATAGTTCGGCGGACGCCATTTTCCCACGAATACACTTGTCTACCAAAATATCTTCAAATATATATAGTATTATTTTTTCATTTTAGAAATATCTTACGATTTTTGTCACGGTCGTATGTTTAAAAATCTTGCTACCCCCTTCTGATATTACAAAAATAATTTGGTAGAATCTTCCGATCTTAGTTTCGGTCTTATACTTTACAATCTTACTATCCCCTCCCGATCTTGACAACCTTGCTAATGAAGGATTCACCATTCCATATATTCAGAATAAAAGAAAAACTGTAGTTTGCTATCATCATCCCTTGGGAGAAAACACAAATCCTATGTGGCACGGACACCTCTCAAAAATGGTGTGTCCGTGTCGCGGTTGAACATTTGCACTCACATTTGTGATTACATTTAATTTATTTATTTTTTAAAATTATTACCGGTGTCGCCGTGTCAGTGTCGGGGTCGTGTTTGGGGTGTCCGAGCTTTATAGCTCAAATCTAATATTGGTTATGGATATGACTTAGATAGAATTTGAAAAGCATGGGCAATTATCATGCCAAACAAACTGGTTTTATGGGTTTAGTTAGGTTCAACATCTAATATACTATCTGAACGTATTCTAAATGAGTTGTTGGGTCACTCAAATAATCATCTACGCGCTCAACACAATAGACAGAATAAGAGTTCATAAAGAATGGACAATTCTCGTTTTACAAATTAAAACAAAATCTAAGAATCCTGAGATTGTTCAGTGCAAGTTCTTTTTGATTTATTTCAATATCTTGTTGATTTGAAGATCTACATATTATTTTCCAAACATGACTTCAGGAACCAAGCTCCATTATACATGCATTTTATGACATTTATATATTTTTGGTTGTTTGTTAATTCTAAACTACTGCTTGCGAGATGTGCATCGTGCAATGTATTGTTTTTGTATCTGGAGTTAAATACAGTTGTGTTTTCTTTTCACGCAGCGGCGTCATGACTCTGTTTTATCTCTTCAAACTAGCAACTGGTGGCAATCATATACCTGCTAAGGCTGACTGATGAAAACTGTTTCATCATATTACTATAAACAATACATATATGTTGAGTGACCTACATGATTTAGATGGTTGTACTTAGTGATTTCAAAGTTTGGAACAGATAGTTGATGTTGTTGCATGTAGAGAATTGGGCTTTTCCTGCATTATTATTTATGAACCTACTATTGTCAGTCCTTTTCTTTTTTATTTTCTTTCTAGCGAAACATTGGGATCATCTTGAATGCAAAATAGAGGTTTTAAAAAAATTAATTGATTAATTTGTATTTTAATTCATTTATCAGTGTCTATAATTTCTCATTATGAAAATACTTTTATTTGCGTAGGTCAATGTTCCTAGTTGAATTCAAGCTTTGATTTCTTTTGGTCCTTACTTATATTCGTTCCAAGAACCAAACTTATATTTCCATAAGTTCCTTATTCGTTTCGTTTTTCTCAAATTATACGAAAATTCTTTGATTAAAAAAGACAAAATTTTGAAGTTTTTTTTACAAGATTGTTTTCTTGAAACTAAGTCATATAAAAAGTTGTTCGTGGAAATGATTTTTTTCAGAAAATTTAATGGATAAAGAGAAATGGTAATGACTTAGGATTACAAATAAAAAACACTTTCAAAAGTAAGCGTGTCATGTGTCACAATGTCTCACACTTATATGGTCTTTGTTTTATTTTTTGATAATCCTCACACTATATGTATGTGTTAGATAAAATTTAAGAAAATATTGTCTTAAAAAAATATTTTTTTAAACTCTTGAATATGTATTTAAAACTTGTATAACATTCATATAACATATGTATCAATAAATGTTTTAAATAAAATATATTTTTTCTTTTCTTCACCATAACTTAAACTTTTTTTTTAACAAATCTCACACATCCAAAAAATTTAAATGTGTCAGAGATCTTTTAGAGTAAAAACATTAAATTTGATATTTTAAATTTTTTATAGTTGATAAATAAATAAATATCAAATATCAATGTCGATATTCTATATTTTTCTATATCATAATTATTGGAGTGTTCGGTTCTGATTCGTCTCGAATAAAAAAACATAATTTTATACATCTCAATATGTATAAAATTGTAAGATTGAGTTATGAATCTTAATCTTTCTTACTTAATGAGACTTTTATATAAACAATATTTGTTTTTTCTTCATAAATAGTATAAATCTTCATAAATTAAAGCAAATGTAATAAATATAAGGTAAGGGAATAGCTTTTACAAACAAAATTAGCTATAGATACCTTATCTCATCTATAAGAAGTAAACAATGTCAATTTGTTAATTCTAGCATTTTTGAAGTAGAGGTGGCAATCAAACCATTTAGATAATATTCATGCAATCCATTTAATAATTTATTCTTTCAATTCATGAATAAGACAAAAAATAATTTAATTGATTTGATTCAATCCATTCACTAACTCATACGGATGGATTTAATCCATTCATCTCATTTTATAATTTATTGGATATTATGTTATCACTTATTAAATTAATTAAATAAATTATTTTTATAAAAAATATTAAAAATTAAATAATTTTTCTTTATTCTAAACACAAATACTTAAATTATATTTCTATAAAATTTAAAAAATAATTAAAAAATTTTTAATTAATTTTTTTGGATGGATGGATATCCATCCATTAGAAATATGTTAATGGATGAATTGGATGGATTTTATCTTTTAATGGATGGATTGGATTGGATTTTTATTAAGAGAGTTTAGTGGATTGTTAATGGATTAATAGATTGTTTTGATCCATCCATTAACAATTCAATCCATATCCATCCAATTCATCCATTTTGTCACTCCTACTTTGAAGTATATAATCATCTAAACTATATTTGTTACATTGCATCATCCACATTGAATTCAACATATAGCTGTTTAACTTGTGATTGGGCCAATCTTCTACTCTCTCCAAATCGGTACGTATTATACTCTATACTCCCTTAAAATGTAATTGGTGTTTGAATCTTTCTAAGTTATGTATTATAGTTAGTATTAACTATGTTATGTGATGACTATGATTTTATCCAAAAAAAGATTTTGATGATTTGAAATAGAAAGGATGTGAAAATGAAAAGAAAAAGAGTGAAAATCGATTGAAGTTTAACAAATAAATATGACTTTTGAGTTTGTGATTTGAATCAAGCATAAAAGCTGATTTAAATTACGAGTTTTAATTTTTAAGAGAAAAACACTTTGATTCAAATCAAGTGTGATGGTTGATTCGGATCAATTTGAACAGTTCCAAAATGTTTCAAGCCCTATGCTTTTTATTTGAATTAGATTTAAAGGCAAAAAGAATTTATTCAAATTAAATAGTTCATTTTTGAAGAAAAAAAACTTGGTAAAATGAGGTTTTTCAAATTCAATTAATTTTAATGATAAGAAATATCTTTAATGCAAATGAAAAAAGATTTTTAATGATATGTATGAATGTAAAAGAAAAATTAATCATTTTAATGCAAATGTTCAAAATGATTTTAATGCGAAGTGCATTTTATTGTGAATGCATAAAAAAATTTAATTCCCAAGAAATCAAATGATGATGATGAATGTATGAATAATGTAAATGAATGCAATGAAAAGACAAAATAAAAATTATACTCATGCATTAAATGTTTGAATGATTAAGACATGAAATTTCCAAACATATCACATACACAAACATGTTTCAAGCATACAACACGTTTAGTCAATAGAATAAATACAACAATGTATACTCAAAAAGAAATAAAAGAGGGTTGGAGCGATCATACCAATTTAGACGGTCTAGGCTTAATATTTTGCACACGAATAAGAAATCAACAACAAGAATATCATAAGCTTTGAAATACGAACAATCATATAATAATTGGTCACAATCTCCTTTCGCACATCTAAAGAATACTATGAGACTCTCTTTCATAAGGCTTTAGACAAACGTTGAATGATGATGGTTTGATTATCATTGGTTGACACAACTTGTCGATCCCGAATAACCGATTCAACTCTTTGATGATTGATAGCACTTTAAGGAGTATAATGTATCCCTGAATCTTTTGTAATTGTTGAAACTTTGTAGAATCATTGTCAATAGTCATAAAATTGCATTCGTCTTCTTTTTACGATAACCTTGGAAGAATATGTCACTTAGAAGATGCTTTTTGCTAAAAAAAAATTATCTCACAAAACTTCCAGCATGTTGTAATGTGAATGCATGTTCATCTTTGATTAGGATCAATTATTAAATCCATGTAATGCATGCAACAAATAATCATACATTATTAAATTAATGTAGATTCATTGGAATTCATTGAATTGCCATAAGCTTACAAATGATTAGAAAAAAATCCTCTAGGATCGAAGGAACTATATTCTCAGCTTTTGGAGTCGCAAAACTTTTATCAACAGTCCTGCTCTGATACTAATTATTGGGTGAGAGTATGGACACAAAAAGGTCTAGAAAGGAGGATTGAATAAACGTTTTCCCTTTAAGAGAATTTCAAAAACATTTTAGATCTCATATACGAAATCATAGATTTTAATAAACACGAAAGCAAAACACAAAATCAAGAAAGCTTGGAAGCATCTTAATGAATTATACCAAATGAAACAATACTTGATGTTACTAAGTACTCGATTGCTTATAATGCAAGTCAATCACAAGACAACCAAAGTCGATTTAAACAAAGCAATTTAAAAACTCTTTACATAGATATTCTATCAAGCCATAATTTGATTCTTAATGATTCTATAAGATTTAATGCACCATAGATCTAAGCTTATACATAAAATATTTATAAGCATTGTCTAGCTTATGTGGCATACAATCAATGCAATTATGCAATAATGCAATAGCGATATTAATGGATGCTAGTAAAATAAAGTAGATTAAGGAAGAAGAAAAGATACACAGAGATGTATAGTGGTTAGGTGTTCGTCCTCGCTTTGCATACTTCACTCTTCAATGGTGTTAGTTAACCACTGAAAAATAATCACGATCTTCCACTATTTTGATAAGTTTGATATAAGCATTTTGGTTACAACAAATTATCACACGATAAATTCCTCTGTTGATGCAGACACTCAAACTGCTAACAAAAACAAGATCTCTAAACAATATTAATCAAATAACCTTACTATCCATAACAACCTACTCCAAGTATTCGTGTGTGGCAATCCACCTGATCCCACCAGTTTTTTGTTCGAGCGATTGTCATTAGTTAAGCATTGATTGGACAACTCCCAACTTTGTCTGTGAGCAATCTTTCTCCAACTCCACCAAAGAATGATAACTTCCAACTCCTCCTTATGGACAGTTGATACTTGATCTCGCAAAAGTCTTTTTTGGAGTAGATTGAAACTATCCCTTTGATAGACAACAATAAAGACCAGAGTGAATTCAAAAAATGATACATGTGCCTGTTACAAACATCAATCTACACACACAAAAAATATTAGATATGCTAATGTACCACTAGTCTCCTTCAACACTCAATATTTAGAGATGAAGGTATTTAACAATGAAAAAAGACTAAGGATGAAGATGATGAACAATGTCAGAATATCTCACAAATAATCTAAAAATACAAGGTGTTAGTCAATGGATTAGATGAATGTGAATGAAGAACACACACAAGGTTCTCTCAATTTTTTGGGTAAATGAGTATTGGTTATTGACTATTATCATGAGGTTGATTAATCATGAATAACAAAACAAGATTAATCAACTCATTCTCTCTAATTCACTTAAAACAATAATAAATTGCACAAGAACAATATGCAACAAAAAAGAAGTGAGTTTGACATGGATTAGTGTAAAGAGGTTGTTCTAATGAAGAAGAGAAATATCCATGGTGATAGGTATATACACGCTAGGGAGAAAAGAAAAATTGACATTTTTGTCTCTATGGCTTTCACCGATATATTTCACACACTTGTTACTTTCACCAAAGAAACAACTATTTAAATTAAGGATGAAAATGGATCTTGTGAAGCTTTGATTCAAATC